TAGGATTAAGCATTCCAGTAAAAAAAGTATCCACAGCTTATTAATTTTTTTAGCGAAAACAAATGTTGCCAAATTCAACAATGGGTTTTTGGAACACAATTTCAGGCGAACAATTGTTTTCAATAACTCATAATCATGTCATTACAGTCTTTTGTTTTGCCATGCGTCGGTGTGCTAAAGGGATGGACCGCGTAGGCATCAGGATCCACTGTCCAGGTATGGGAACCGTAACCCCATTTTGAGCAGAGGAATACAGAAAGCACCGACTGGATTGAAGCGGTATCCAACCGACTGACGGCGAAGCTAACCACCACTAAAACTGAGTGGCTGTGACACGGTTCCAGACTCGGATATAAACACAGAGGACGACAGGGATAGCGACTTAAGCTACCTGGTCATCACATGTTACGCGGGTTTCCAAATCGATTTGATGAATTTCAACAACAGGCAAAGGTGATTAGTTTAAAACAGTATCAGAGCGTGACTGACCGTGACGAATAGGGGGAAGAGCAAAAGACAATACAAAAGTATGAGAAACAGGCAACCTATTCTATATTAAAGCCGATGACTGTCAAGGATAGCGATCAGTATATTTTGAAACTAAGTCGCCCACTAATACGGAACCACATCATTCCGAACTGAATGTACATGGACAGTTGAACAGAGGGAGCCAGACAAAGAAACTTGATCGGTATTGTCACAATGTCTTTCGTGACTATGTGAACTCAAAGGACACAAATACTCAGTGCTCACTGACTCAAACCTCTGAGTTTTTACTGGAATATGCTTTGAATATGATTTTCAAATGAAATGAATAATCCCTGCGATCACCAGAAATGACCGATGAAAAACTGTTGTCTACAGTTCCCAAATGCGGATGAAAACCACCGCCTATTTCCGTTCATCATTTTTGGTATTCCGGAAAACCGGTTCGGATCACACGTCCTCATACAACACAGTCCGTTTATAAACTATTTGGTGAATTCGTGTTCGAAAAACGGTTTCTCTGGTCTCATAGCAGTTGGACTAAATTTAATGGGAACTGAAGATGGTCAAGAGGTTCAACACGATGAGCGAGGACAGACAAACGGAAAGACAGAAACAGGCACCAGTAAAACGAAAGTGATTTATTTTCATGAAAACGTCTACAAAAACAAACTGTTCTGCCTGAAGAAGAAAAGAAAAGCCCGAGTCATATTCATATCGGCTGCCGAGTAACTCAAGCTGATGATGTGATGCAGAAAGAACATTTCAGGTTTTCGTTTGCTCTGAAGTGCAAAGCCGCACGACGTCACGGACACAAAACACGGCACGACATGTTGGACATGGAACGCGACCGGAAAGCCACACGTCTGGTGAACGATGCGCTTCTGTTTGCCTGGAAGCAAACCAACGGGCCATACAGTCTAAGCACCACATCGGTCGACAACGACAAGTCCCACAGCGTGCTTCTTGATGACCCGGTGAAGTGGATCTGCCGTAGTTTGGATTCATTGTTTGGTCCGGGGCACAGCGTTGGATCAAGGTCACATTAGCAGTTTGAGCCATGCAACCGATACATTGTTCAAGATCCTATTGCAAACAGATAAGAAGCGTACGGAATCAGACATGCGTGCGTGAGTAACGAGGCAGACTGTTGTCTATTGTAGAGAATTTAGGATGTCAGCAGCCATTAAAGATAGGAATACTAACAACGCTCGCACGCTTTCTGCTGTAGGTCGTTGTGCCCAACGGAAGAGACAAATTAAAAATTGGGACATTAAATAACGCTAGTCAAACTTCTAAACTGATTATCCCGGTTAGAGTTCTGAAAAAGCTCAGTGTTTTGAAATCTTGTGAGTCAAGTACTCCAAACGAAAATATTCGTCAATATGGATTCCCGATAAGCGATTGACTACCCTGAGTTTTCATGTATGCATGAACTTCCACAAGCGTTTGGCAAGAGACATGACATATGATCACGATCCACGGAATGTATAGTGAGACAGCATCAGGATGAAACCGAAGTGCAACGATTTAGTTGGATCGAAATCTTATGCCGTGGATACATTTAACAAGGTAGTTTAGCCAAGAGCGCTGTAAATTCAAATGTAGAAACACCATGTTCGATACACACATTCTACTTCTGACATAATGCTAGATTTCCAAAACCGAAATCCATTCTCATGCATGTAGCCCTTTACAATCATGCGGATGTAGGGAATGCGCTATATCAAGGATGAATAACGGTTGCTACACTGCATTTCAATCAGTGGTGAGTTATACGTTTTATAACCGGATAAACATATGCAGGTGAACTGCGACGAAATGAGCATGCGTATGCACCACATGAACGCATGTGAATGATTAATTTCAGAAGATTTTTCCGAAACTTAACTCTAGATGGAATGTTTGGACAAGTTAGAAAACCTTCTGGGTAGTAGACTTTCAATTATGATTGAATTCCATCAGAACATGGCACATTTTGTGAAGAGAAATTAGACAGAATGGGGAAGACACCTCACCGGTTGATTTTTCCCGAGGGAAAAAATTGAATTTGATGCGTAGCTATCATAGTTCCGGTGATAATATCGGGCAACTCAAACGATGGTGTGACAGACTTTTATCCGTTATTGTGACATGGGCGTTGAGGAAACACAGTGATAGAAAGACTAAAGAGAATAAAATGCATATAATTTGAAAAGAGAGAGCAGTTGAGCACTGGTCAGTGGACAGAATAGTAAAGCAAACTGATCTCAGTTGGGACTCATCAACAGTGTAAACAACAAGTATCAAACTTTAGTGAATTGGGGTCGCATAAAATACAGACCGCAACAAGGTCTGAAAGGACCGAATTTCTCAAATACGTCTTGTAGGACAAATACCTGTCGTTTCTAATTTGTTCATACGTTTCCCAATTTCCCAACCGATGATACGAAACTGTACAGATGGGTGTTTTTAACAAATGGCAAGCAGAGGATACCAGAATCGAGTGCACTCACCATGTCATGGTCGGGACTCACTGGATCCCCTTCATCGACGACTTCTGCGAATGCTTGTACGAAACGTTGAACGACAGTCGGTTCGAGATCGACACCGGGAGCTTTAATCAATGGGCATTGTAGTGTGGAGCGTAGAACGTCCAGGTTGGATGCTGGTAAACTGAAAGTACAAAGTCGAAGATAGAATTAAGAAAGAAGTGGGTGGTGCACTAGTTTCTGGCTTCTATGCAAAGTATTGAAGCCTTCAAAAAGAAACGCGTCAACATTCACGTAACACGGTTGAGACGAAAACCTATGAGTTTTGATCACCCACTGCCATTTGACCCAGCTTTCTAGGGGAAAAGTGCGAATGAACCTCCGCTGAAATTCCTACTCAGCAGTGTGAAGCACCTGGTAGCCCCAAATCACTTTCACAGCGTAGTATGTGCATTACAGGCACTAGTAGTTTTATCCTTGCTGCGAAGGTAAAAACATCGTCAAATCCTCGAATTGGGTACCTTCTACCGCTGTTTTGAAGCTTCGCGGCATAAAATTGATGGTGGTGGCGCAGTGGTTTAGTCGCTGTCACCGGCGTGCGTTGGTCCGAGGTTTGAGCTCCGCCACCGCCAGCCGACTTTGGTGGTAGGCAGCTCTGTTGTCTTCCGGTTCAATACCACGCCTAACCTATCGGGGCCTTATGTGGTTTACCACTCCAAGTCCCGGGACTTAGGTTGCCGGTCATCTTCACTAAACAGCAGGTCCTCGTGACTATGGGATTCGCCCCGTCTGCTGTTCAACACACTTAGGTGTGTAATAAAAAAATATTGAATCGCTTTACCCTACCCAGGCAGTTGATTCGCAAATGATAAAAAAGCAATGAAGTAACCGCACGCATTTTTCAGGCTCGAGCAATGTGCACAGAACGTTGGCGATTACGTGACATATCACTGGAGTTAAATGGTTGCATACATATTGTGCCGTCGTTCAGTCATTTCTGCCTTACGGTTGAAATCTGGAATCGGCGAGTAGAAGACATCCATCGATTGAAGCTTTTTGACAATGGATGGGATGGATTGAGCGGGTTTGTAACTTAGATGAAATTCGTCTAGTGTTTGGGAATTTATTAAGGAAAAATTCGCTATCGTATCGAATACAGCTGAATAGGCTCCGCTGGTTAGGACACATTTTGCCTATGACTAAAGGTCGCTTAGAGCATCGCGCCGTATTCGCAGTTGCCGTTCCGGGCTGGGGTAAAACCACGTGGAGGTCAACAGATGGCATAGTTGTGGCAGTGGTCACCGGCTTGATTGGGCATCGAAGTGTATTGGGCACCTGGAACGTTTGACCCCGTCCAAAGGGCGTACGATCCGATGAACTGGACATCGGTTGCGGTTTCCACACACCGCCCGGCTGCCTTGTGGATCAGGCTCCGGTTGTGGATTCTTCAAGAGAATTCAGCTGCCTTGGGTTGGGCAACCTGACAGTATTCGGCCCACATGCAAATCATGGAACGTTTTTTTTTTGTAAAGCTTATTGTACCATGATTTGTTTGGCATACAGCCTGGCTTCAGACGTGTGTGAAATGTATGTAATGTATGTATATGTGGAATACGTAATGCGTCCTACGCCGATACTGTTCCGTTTTCTCACTCTCATAGAAAGCAAACGGCATAAGAATTCGAGAATGCCGACGCATTCTTTCATAAGAGTGGGTCACACAAAAGCGATCGGTATGATCTAGTCGAAAAGATGGCAAACCTGACATGATGGCTGAGGGTGTCAAAAACTAAGATGCATGAACGCACCCGCATGTGAGCAGACAAACACCCGTTTGAACATCGACAAAGCGGAG